TCACTGGGCTGCTCCGGGCCGCGCCCACGCGCGCGCCCCAACCCGCCCCTGCCGCGTCCCTCGCGCCCGCGCCCCCGGCCCGCGCCAAGCGCCACCTGCGCGGCCCCCCTCCCGCGCGCCCGGCCCCTGCCGCCGCCGCCCGCCCGCTCCGCGCTCGGCGACCGAGAGCGGCGCCGTGGGAGGTGCTCCCCACCCTGCTGCTGCTGCTGCTGCTGCTGCTGCTGCTGCTGCTGGCCTCCGTGCGCGGCCTGGGCTGCCGCCTTGCGCTCCCCAGCGTCCTCCTGCCGCCCCGCAGCCAGACCCTTGTCTAATGCCAAGTATGCACTGAAAACCTCGGGCTTTGGGTCCGGCAGCTGCTGCACCCGCCCGTCCGCGTCCTCCCGCAGCACCCACCGCGCAATGCCCCGCGTCTGGTGGAAGCTGAGGGGGGTGTACTTCTTGACGGGCGGCGGCGGCGGGCGCAGCGCGGGGCCGCGCGCGGCGCCGGGCCAGCCGGCGGGGTTCTGGGAGCTGCGGGCGGGGGGCGTGGGGTGCAGCGGGAAGGGCGTCGTGTGCAGGAGCCGATTTGAAGAGGCGACCTGATTGAGCGCCGGGTGCCTCCATTGATCTCCAGGTGATCCCGAGCAGTAGGCGCACGCGCTACCCGCCCCTTGCATCGCACGGGGCAGGGAACGGCAGCACAGAGCCAATGCAGGCCAGCCGCAAAACCAAACAAGCCCGGTGCATGGGCGGAACCATGCAAAAGGCGGTAATCCGGCAGGCCCACCAGAACAGGTATGTCTCCCCCAGGCGCGTGAGGACGGTGTCTGGCACCCTTGACGCCGCCTCCAGCAGCCGTCCCAGCGGGAACGGCCCGGGCGGGTGCTCCCGGGCGTCGTGGGACGCCTTGAGGCCTGTCCAGCGCTGGTGCTGCGGTTTGGGGGGGCAGGGGGGCGCCGAGGGCGGCGGAGGGAAGGGGGTTGGGGGTTGACGGGGACGTGCTGCGCAGGGAGGCGGGCGTGACGGGAGGACGCGTGGGCGAAGGGGGGGCCCATGGGCGAACTTGGTGGGGCGAAGGGTGGGACGCAGGGGTGAGAGCTGGTCAGGTGCAATATTAGCCTGCTGAGAAGATACCTCCCTTGACCCAAGCCCCGCCGATGCAGGGGCGCCACGCCAGTCCCTCTGTGCTGGATGACGCCTTGCGCGCGCGCGCAGCCGCTGCATGCTAACCTCGGACTTGGCCTTGTCCCTCTCACGCTTGGCCTGGTCCGCCTTTGCAGTCAAATCGTTCAGCTGGATTTCAAAATTCAGGGTTGAGAGGTTGGGGTTGGGGTCCAGGGTCAGGGTGCAGGTGTGGGCTGGGGTGCTATGGAGGAGTGTGGGCCCGAGAGTCGGGCTCTAAGGTCGAAGGCAATGCGGTGGAGGAGCGCCTTCAGGAACAACAAATCGTGTTGGGTCAAGCAGTGACGACAACCAGGCCACAAACGGTTGAGACGGCGGCCAGGGCGTTGCGTGGCGTGGAGCTGCCTTCGACCACAAGGGTGTTTCAAGGTGTTGTCAGGCGTCGGAGCCACATACACAAATGCCCGCAGCTGGAGCCCAAACGGCAGGTGCCCTCAAGCGCTCGCGGCAGCTCTCACGCGCCCGCCCGCGTCCGGGCCCGCACCTCATTCTGCAAGGCCCCCGCCCGCACCGCGCCGCCCAGCGCGGCGTCGGCCACGGCCTGCGTCTGGATCGCCTGGCGGTGCGCGCGCTCCGCGACCGCCGTGCCAATGATCAGGCGGTTGCACTCCTGCCGCGCAGCGCAGCGAAAGAGGGGCCCGGACGAGGCGCGGGATGAGGGGGCAGGGCAGCTCGGATTTGAGCGGCTTGGCACCCCCCACACATTGCGTGACGTCACATACAGTCATCACGTCATTGTCAAGCCCAGCCATGTGCGTTGCACCGTTCGCTCCCGGCCGCTTCGACCTCGCAATCCGCCTTGCCCGTCTAATGCCATCCTTTCCTTCGCGCCCGCATGCTCACACATGCACGCACACACTCGCACACCATCTCTCACTACACACACACACTCTCTCTCTCTCTCTCTTCGTCTCTCTCACACGCACGCCGAGACGCATACACAAGTGTGGGCCGCGCCCACATGACACACACACACACACACATGCAGACTTGACTACATGGACTCTCACCTTGCACTCCTTGTACAACTCGTACACAGGGGACCCCTCCTCCATCAACTCCCGCACCGCCGGCGGCACGTACCCCCCAGAGCCCCGGGGCAGCAGCGCCAGCGAGCAGACGTGGGGCGGCAGCGGACCCAGGTCGCCCGCACCGGCGCCGTAGAACCGCTCCAGGCGCAGCATCTGCTGCTGCTGCTGCTGCTGCTGCTGCTGCTGCTGCTGCTGCAGTAGCTTGAGAGCCTCCAGGAGCTCCGAGGGCAGGGGGCCGTTGTGGGTGTAGCTCCATCGGTAATCCGGGCACTCTGGGGTTGGATAGCAAACATTGAGGGGGCGCGGGCGAGGACCTTGTGACCAGCCAGGCGTGCAGCAAGGTCACGGCTGCGCGGCCCGCAAGCACGCCCCTGTCGCATCATGGGCCCGCGCTCGCCGCCCCGCAGCCGGAGGCCACCAACACGAGCGGGCGCCTCTGTCGCCGCCGCGTGCTGTGGCACCCTTGACATCAGGCTCGTCTTGCACCACCAAGGATTTAGCAGGGGCACCAGCAGCGCCCCTGTTGAAGGGTATGGTGAGAGCCCACGGAAGCCGCCACATGAAGCCACCCCTCTCACCTCCGGCGAAGTACATGCTCAGAGTCCAGAGCAGGCCCCGCACGTAATCCAGCGCCCGCTGCACCCTCCGCCTCACGACCACGCCCTCAGCTCCGCCGCTGTCCGCCGCCGCCGCAGCCGCCGCCACGCCGGCCGCCGCGGGCCCCTCCAAGCCGTCCATCGCCTCGTCCTCTTCTCCGCTGCCGCGCTCCTCAACCTCCGTATCCCCGGCCCCCTCCTCCTCCTCTTCATCCTCGTCTTCAAGGGCGCTGCCGCCGTCCACGTCAGCGTCCGTGGCAGCTTCCGCCTCGGACTCCAGCTCGTCGACCTCGTCGTCACCCGGCCGCACGTATGACACCGGCGTGGATGCGATGAGCTCTGATAGGAATTCCATGTCCAGCTGCGCAGAGACAGCCAGGCGGTGAGGGCCGTGGAAGCTGCCGGGCAGCTGCACCTGGCCGGGCCGCTGCTCGTGGAGGTGCATGATGGAGCGGAGGGCGTACTTGGGGGTCTTGCGGAGCTGCACGTACCTGTGGGGTTCAAAATGGGAGGGGAAAATGCGTGTGAAAGTATACTTGTGTGTGCAGTTGTATGTGAGTTAGTGTGCATGCTGTGGGTGGGTGTTTTGTGAGTGTGTTGCATGTGATGTTTGCGCGTGCGCGTGTGTGTGTGTGTGTGTGTGTGTTTGGTGTCTGTGTGTGTGCCTAAGTGTGCAATCATGTGTCCACACACACACACACACACAAACAATCGCAAGTGCGAGTGTGTGTGTGTGTGTGTGTGTGTGTGTGTGTGTGCGCGCGCATGTGCGCACGCATGTGTGCCGCAGCAGGCACCTGAGAAGCATCTGACTAAGGCAAATCAACAGGCGCACCCACGCAACCATGTCCCCCTCTGCCCTTCCCCTCCCAAAATTCCAGCCCCGCCTCACCTCTTCCACAGCCCTCCTCCCTGCCTGTCCATGGCGACCCCCCTCACGCCAGGCAGGTAGTCGTTGCCGCTGGACATGATCGCGATGAGCGCCAGGTCAGCCTTCGCACCCGTCAGCTCAGAGGCGCCAGCCTGGGTGTGTGTGTGTGGGGGGGTTGAGTGGGGGGTTAAGCGGGGGTCCGTATGCGGTGCAGTGGGAGAGGCTCTTCATGGAGGTGCGTGATGCGGAGATGCGTGGGAGTGCTAGGGCGTGGTGCGGGGTTGCTGGCTGTGTGTGTGTGTGCATGACAGCAAAATCCATTGGTTTGGCGGTGACAGAAGCGAGGGCATGGTAAGCCGTGAGTGCCCGCAGGCGCTGCAGGCAAATCCCTGTCGAGGTGCTGAGGGCCGTCGGGGATTGGATAAGTAGAAGCGTCGAGGAGCATCTGGGCGAGCGCCCGCAGATGCGGGCCAGGGGTGCGGGCCCCTCGCACAGTGCCAGGCGTGGAAGGGCATGAAATCCCCTTGACGCGAGACCCACCTCGGCTGCGGCGCCGCTGAGTGTGGTGGCCAGCCCCAGGGCGACCCAGCGCTGGTGCAGGCGCTCCACGCTCATGATCTGGGGGGAGGGGAGGTGGCAGCAGCAAAGAGATGCCCCCACCAGAAGGAGATGGGTTGCGGGCACCACTGCTTACGCGGGCCGGCGGCAGGACGTCCATGGTGGAGTGCACGTGAGGTTGCGGCTGCAAAACAGACCCCAGCACGGGTACATGGCAGGTACTGCACGCACTCAATGCACACACGCAAGCACAAAAGGACACTGACTTGCATGCTGATGCTCACACACACACACGCATGCCGTCGTGCAGGCACAGGTGCACGTGCAGCACAGACACACACAATCACACACACACACACAATCTCAGTGCGCGCACCTTCATGTTGGGAGAGAACCTGCCCTTGTCTGAGAGGGACGCGTTCAGAACGTGCAGGTCGCGGGTGCTGGACATGAGGGCCATGAGGATGAGGTCCGCGTCATCACCCACCACGACTAAGGGGGCGATGACGTTTCGGGGGGTGCGGGTGCAGGAGCGGGTGTGGGTGCGAGTGCGAGTGGTGCTGTAGGAGACAGGCAGGGGTGCAGGATCGACAGCAAGGTGGACTTGCGCTGCGTTGGGTTTCAGAAGTGAGGGGTTGAACGTCCATCGGCGGCGGTTGCAACAAGGCAACGATATGGGCTACGTGGAAGCGGAGACGGCAAGTGCTTCACGGCTCCTCGGCAGAGCGCCGCCCTCGTGGCAGCGCCCGCAAGCCTGGCCGCCCCGCAAGGCGCGCCCGCACACGCGCGCGCTGCGCCGCTGCGCCTCTGCTGCGCGGCCCACCGTGCGTGTCGCCAGGCTGGACGTGGCCCCAGGGGCGCGCCAGGCGGCCCAGGATCTTGACCTCCCCCTCCCCCGCCACAGTGGCGCTCGACACCTCCCACCGCACCTGTGCGGCGCCAGGGCGGGCAGCAAAACAGGCACGCGCTCTCGCAAGCGATGCTTTGCGGCTGCTCTGGGCGCCGTTGAACCCAGGCGAGGCAAGCCTTGCCGCTCGGAAGCTTCCCAGCCCCCGCTGAATGCAGGCCCCAGCCCCGCTGTCGTCCAAGAGGGCCCTTATTGCAACGCAACAAGAATGATGCAGATGCCCGCGTCGGCACCGGGGCTGCGCCCCGGCCGCCGCGCCCCAGCCGCCGCGTCGCCCCGCCCCGCGGGCCCCCCGCACCTCGCGCCACCTGGCGGACCCCGCGCGCGCCGCCACGAAGAAGCCCAGGCTGACGCAGACGTCGTGCATGAACTCGGTGCCCGGCGTCAGCGCCACGCTCGACACCACGGGCTGCGCCTTGAAGCGATTCCTGGCCGCAGAGCTCGGGGACGCGGGCAGCGCGCCCATCCTGACCTCTCGGCGTGCGACGGCCTGGACAAGCCAAGGTGGATTGCGAGCACGAAGAGCTTGGTTCCAAATCAGGCAGATTGTGGGTCTTATGGGTTGATGGGGGTTCCGATTGGGCGGCGTGAGCTCTAGGTGCAGGGCCGGCGCCGAGGGCGCGGCGCGTGGGCTGGATGCATGCGCGAGGGCTCCGGCTGCGGCGGCCTTTTGGCTGGCGGCACGCGGGGGTTGGTGCCGCGCTCGCCGGCGCCGCGGCCACCCCGCAGGGCGCGGACTGCCAGCCAACCCAGCTGGTATCGCCCGACCTTGACGAACCCCCACCGCACGTTGATGCAAAGGCCTGCCCCCGCGGCCTGCCCCCGGAAAGCGCGGTGCAACGGAAAGCGGGGCTTCGCAGCGGCGCCGCGGCGCACCTGCCGCCGCTCGCGCTGCGTGATGAGCTTGGCCAGGGGGGCGGGGCCATCCACCGCAATCATGACGCCCTTGCGGGGCGCGACAGTCCTCAGGATCTCATCTAGCTTCTTGTGCAGAAGAGAATGGAACTGGTCGTGCGTGGAGGCTGCAATTTGGGGGGCCGACAGCGCGGGCGCACGCTCGGGGGGCGTGGGCGCTCTGCTGCGGAGCGGTGCGGCCGGCGTTCAGGCGTGCGGGGAGGGGGCGCGGCGCGGCAGTCGCACGGCGGCAGCAAGGAGCCAAAGCGCCGGCGCGGCTGCCGCGGCGTGGGGGGCCGGCGTGGCGGGGCGGCCGCGGGCGGGCGCGGGCGCACCTCGTCGCAGCACGGTGTGCAGGACGCTGTTTAGATCAATGTAGACATGGTCTATGGGCACCTGGCTCAGCGGGATGTATGCGTCCTTGTTCTTCTCCGCGAACCACAGGCTGAAGCCGGGGATCCCCATGGCTGCTGCAAAGCGCGCGAGCCGCGCGGCCCTGGGCAGGCGTGTGGTGCTGCCGCACGGCAACGGAGAGGCCTGGGGCGGAGGCCGTGGTCTCAAACGTGAGGCTGACTATGGCACCATTCACTGGGGCTCAAAGTCTTTTGAACTCAACGGGGTTGCAGAGCGAGGTGGCCAGCTCATTTGAGATCATCAAGAAAATGATTTGCGCAAATCTCATGCATGGGCGCTTACGCAGTCGATAAAACTAACTTATTATTGTATTTTGTATACCGTATCTGCTCCGCATGCACATGATATTGATTTCTGATTGCAGTTGATCACGTTGCACCTGGCCGTGTCCATACACGCTCAAGGACGCGCCGGAGTGTGTTCGTGTGAGGGTTGTCGGTCGCCCCTCGCAACTGCAACATAACCGCAGGCAGTGCCCGCTGTCGCACTCTGCCTGGGACCGCACGCACGCACGCCGCGGTTGCGCACGCACGACAACTGCATCGGCGGCGTGCCGCCGCCGCCCGCCCTGGCGGGCGCCAGGGGTTGCGTGCCTCAATGTTCATCTGCCCCGAATGCGGCGAGATCTTGGAATCGCGGGACGAGTTCAAGCAGCACACGTCGCAGCAGCACCTCGCGGCCCACCTGGCAGAGAGCGACCCTGATTCCGAAGAGGAAGCCGAGGCCGCCGTTGACGGCGAAACTGCAGGCGGCGCTTCTGGCAGTGGCGGTGGCAGCGGCGCGCGTGGCCGTGGCCGCGGCCG